TGAAAGTAATGATGTACCTTTTGTGGCTGTTGGATTTAGGAGTAATTGGTCCGCAAATGTCTGAATGTACTAGCTGCAGGGGTCTTGAAGCTCTCCATGCACTCTTCTTTGGAAAAGGATCGCGGTGTTGCTTGCCCACTATGCAATCTGTGCATAATGTAGAACTATTTTTCAGAATTGGCAGACCCTTAACCATCCTCTTATATGCCAAAGTTCGCAGCCCTTTCATGTTGAGATGACCAAACCTTGCGTGCCATAAGTCTGTGGACTCATCTGAGGATGCTTTAAAGCAGGTTGATCCTAAGGTAGTAGTAGGTACAGAGGCTAACAATACAAACATACGATTTGCAAACATCACTGTTTGCATAATTAGACCTCTCACATTGTGATAAATCCGACAACAACCATTTTGAAACAAGATAGCTAAGTTTTTTTTCTTGAAGCTGTCCAATGCTAAGCAAATTATTTTTGAGATCAAGAATGTAAAATACCTCAGTGATGACTTGAATTCTGCCTTTAACCTCCATTTTGACATTCCCTTTTCCCATGACAGCCAACTTTGAGTTATTTCCCAACTTTACAGTTTGTCTGAAAGATTGATCGAGCTCAACAAACCATTTCTTGTCTCCACTCATATGGTTGCTGCAACCTGAGTCTAAAAACCAAACCTCATCTCGTACAGCACCTTGAGTCTCCGCATATGACATAAGCAGCATTTCTTGACTCTCATCAAACTCTGTGTATTCAGCATAGTGTGCGTAGTTGAGACACTCATATTGAAAATGTCCCAATTTGTGGCACCGATAGCACTCAACAGTAGCCTTGTTGAATGCTCTTCCTCGACCTCTTCCTCTTCCCTTGAAACCACCACGACCTCTTCCTCTACCACCAAACCTCTCTTCTTCTTTTGCTCCAGATCCTGCTTCTCCCGTGACCTTCAATGCTTGTTCCTCCACACTGTTCTTCTTCAGCTTCTGTTCATGAACTAATAAAGAACTCTGCAGCTCATCTACAGAGAGGCTGTTAATATCTTTGGACTCCTCAATAGAGCATACAATATAGTTATACTTCTCTGAGAGTGTGCGTAGAATTTTTTCGACAATTTTTGCATCTTCCATTCCTTCCCCTGCATTCCTCATATCATTGGCAACCATCATGACTCTAGAAAAGTAGTCATTTACACACTCACCAGGCTTCATCTCTAGAATTTCAAACTCCCTTCTCAGCTTCTGAAGTTGAGCTCGTTGGACTCTTATATTTCCTTGATACTTTCTTTTCATAGAATCCCAAAGTTGTTTAGAGGTGGATTTCTGCGTGATGGTCTTCCGGATGTTCTTGTCAATGGACTGGAACAGATAATTCTTTGCCTTCAAGTCTTTCAGTTTCTGCTCCTCTAAAGTTTTCCGCTGTGCTGCAGTGATTTTCTCCAAATCTTCAGGCTCGTCATAGCCATTTTCCACCACACTCCAGTATTCTTTGGAGCGCAGCAAATTCTCCATCAACATGGTCCAGTGATCGTAATCCCCATCAAACTTAGGGATACTCAAAAGGTTGTTGCCCTCAGCCATCGTGCTCTGCCTCTCCTTCTCTTCTTTCTATCTTTACTTCTCAATATCAGGCCCTTGTGTGAGCTCTGATACCACTGTTTGTAGGATTGTGGTATGAGATTCAAATTGTAGCTATAAAGCTTAGGTTTATTCAAGTGAATTATTGTGGCTTTTATAGAGCCATTACAAACAGAAGATAAGAGGAAATCGTAACCATGATTTACACAACTATATCATGGTTATTCTGAAGAAAGGATAATTCAAGATCTAAACTACTCCCTATAGATCAGGGATTATTAAACAGAAAGATAACAAGAATCAAATTCAAACTAACAAATCCATAGGATTTGATCTTCACATAACCAAAACTCCAACAATAATTGTCTCTATTTCTATTCTCTCTTCATTCTTTATCTTGCTTCAAATACCATTAAGTTTATTGATTCAGTTTCCATAGAATTTCTTCATGGTTGATCAAAACTTATCTGTTTTGTCGGGCTTGACTTGGTGATAGAAAATTCTGTAATTAATTCTTGGACGACATATTCTATATTGTTGAAATCTAAGTGACATTTTGTGGAAATCTAAAAGACAAAATGTATGTGGACATTACTTTGTATGTGGACTATTAATTTCATATCCTTTTGTATTCCATCATGTATCTATAAATTATACGATGTATGGAAATGGAAGATGATGAATAAGAGATTACAATTTATCTTCTTCTCTTATCTCTTGTTTCATTACTTTAGTATATTACAACAGAAATAATTTTATAAACAACATTGCGTAGACTTACGGGATGAAATTTCAAAATATTTTTTGGAATTTTGACCTTGGGAATAAGCACTATATTGGTATGATTGAGGTTATTAATAGGCTTTCCCTCATTCAAAAAACCCAACACAACCTTAGATATAGAAGAGCCAACAATATGCCAAAACTTTTGATAAAAAATAGCAGACATTCCATCGGGTCCTAGGGCCTTTGTGGGGTGCATATGAAATAATGCAAATCTAACCCCCACCTAAGTCCGCATTCAGTCTCAGAGAAACTTTTTGTTCAACACTGTTATGCCCTGGAGACAAAATGCACATGAAGGGCACATGACTCGGCCGGCGAGTAAGCCTATCCAATCGGGCCGAGGTCGGGCAAAACCGAGCCCGGACACTCATAGCCATTTTCCACCACACTCCAGTATTCTTTGGAGCGCAGCAAATTCTCCATCAACATGGTCCAGTGATCGTAATCCCCATCAAACTTAGGGATACTCAAAAGGTTGTTGCCCTCAGCCATCGTGCTCTGCCTCTCCTTCTCTTCTTTCTATCTTTACTTCTCAATATCAGGCCCTTGTGTGAGCTCTGATACCACTGTTTGTAGGATTGTGGTATGAGATTCAAATTGTAGCTATAAAGCTTAGGTTTATTCAAGTGAATTATTGTGGCTTTTATAGAGCCATTACAAAGAGAAGATAAGAGGAAATCGTAATCATGATTTACACAACTATATCATGGTTATTCTGAAGAAAGGATAATTCAAGATCTAAACTACTCCCTATAGATCAGGGATTATTAAACAGAAAGATAACAAGAATAAATTCAAACTAACAAATCCATAGGATTTGATCTTCACATAACCAAAACTCCAACAATAATTGTCTCTATTTCTATTCTCTCTTCATTCTTTATCTTGCTTCAAATACCATTAAGTTTATTGATTCAGTTTCCATAGAATTTCTTCATGGTTGATCAAAACTTATCTGTTTTGTCGGGCTTGACTTGGTGATAGAAAATTCTGTAATTAATTCTTGGACGACATATTCTATATTGTTGAAATCTAAGTGACATTTTGTGGAAATCTAAAAGACAAAATGTATGTGGACATTACTTTGTATGTGGACTATTAATTTCATATCCTTTTGTATTCCATCATGTATCTATAAATTATACGATGTATGGAAATGGAAGATGATGAATAAGAGATTACAATTTCTCTTCTTCTCTTGTCTCTTGTCTCCTGTTTCATTTCTTTTAGTATATTACAACACGTTATCAGCACGAGTGGTTCTAGCCGGTTCATGATCATCGGTTCGTAGTAATAGATTTTTAGGTGTACATCTTCTGCAAGGTAATAATACATTCGGCCTTTGTCTATTTACATAGTATCAAGTTTTTCGTCGAATGATTATGATTATGTTCAGTATGAATCTTGGCATCTCATTTATTTGAATTCTTCAAGTAAACTTGTCTTTTTAACAGAAAATAAAATGGCACGGAAAATAAAATGGCAAGGGGAAGTAATAGATTTTTCCAACACTAATTTTAAAAAGGACACGTATTACTCTTCTTTTTTGATGAGAATGGACATCAAGATATTCTCTCCTGAGTTTTAGAGTAATTGTTCCTCCAATAACAAAATGTAATAGCTTAAAAGTTGTTGAGAAGAAAAATTTGCATTTATTATTGTTTAAATTATGAATCCTCTAAGGAAACATATCCAAAGCATGTGAGTGATGGATATTCCTTATTGAGAAGGAAATCTAGCAGACATTTGTAATCCATAGAGAACTATAAAGATTACAGAACAGTCTTAGCACCAAAATGCTAGTTTCTCATATAAATGGTGTTAGAACCTTACATGCTCTTTCTCAATATCCAATATCATTTGGAACTTGTCTACAATAAAATCCGATGCATGGTCTTTATCGCATAAACATGAACATTTGCATTGTGAAACGCATGCGATTGGCCATCCATATATGAGCATGTATTTCTCATCAGTCTAAAAGTTAAAGTTTAGTGGTATTCATTAGAATTTTAGAAGAAATAACTAAGTTAATTGTTTGAGTTCTCTTTTCTATTATAATCAAGCATATCCTATTCGGTAATGTACAACATGCATTAAATTTTTGAACAGTGTTGAACAAAAGTCAATTGGAAAATGATAAACTAGAATTTCCTACAGTTGTTGAAGAAATAGAAGATAGGTTTGATTTCTTCACATAGCAGAAACACGTTAATGCTAGTTTCTCATATACAATGATGTTAAGGTATAATGGAGAACAGGTGCTTGGTAATTAGCAACAAAAGAATGTGCTCATGATCAAACTGCATGGAACAAGCCTATAATTTTCTAGATGGCAGAGCTCTTCTTTCATTACAGTTCCCCTATTTTTTTTGACTATCTGGATAAGAACATGCTGCAGACATAAGCACATAAACTGCATATAAAGTATTTACTATATGTTGATTTCATGCAGTCTGGTTTAATACAATTTACAAATGCACACCTTCTGTTGATTGATCACTTGTCCTAGCTAATTAGAACAGAGGCATGCACTGTGGCTCCTTTATTTATTCACTTCTGTTTGTATGCACATCTTGTATAGTGTAATATTTTATAAATTTGGTGGATTGATATATCTTCTTTTGATAATTATAGCATTTCTGAAAAATGTCTGACATATCCAAAAGGGCATTTGCTGAGCTTGCCGTTGATGGTAGCAACTACTTGACTTGGGCCTTGGATGTTGAAATCTACCTAGATTCTTGTGATTTAAGCAGCACTATTGATCCAGCTTCTAAGAGCACCTCTGTCCAGAAGGCAAATGCATTGATTTTTCTTCGTCATCATCTCAACAAAGACCTAAAAAATGAGTACCTTACTGAAAAAGATCCTGCTATTCTAAAAAGATCCTGTTGTTCTATGGCAATCCCTGAAGGATCGCTTTGACCAACAGACGGCTATTATGCTTCCGCAAGCACAGTATGATTGGTTGAACTTGCGATTTCAGGATTTTAAATCCGTAACTGAATACAATTCAACTCTCCACCGCATTGTCTCACAGCTGAAGCTCTGTAAGCAGAACATTACAGAGGATGAATTGATTAAAAAGACCCTCTCTACATTCCATGCAAGTAATCTTGTACTCCAACAGCAGTACAGGACAAAAAACTATTCAAAACACTCTGAATTGATCTCTGCGTTACTAGTTGCAGAGAAACACAACCAACTTCTGATGCGCAACCATAATTCTAGACCGGTTAGTTCACAAGCTGTGCCTGAAGCACATGCTACAAATCAGAGTAATACTCATGGGCGTGGACATGGTAGAGGTCGTGGACGTGGTCGAAGGTCTTATCGTGGTGGTAGAGGTCGTGGTCGTCGTAATGCTTATGGTCTTCAGGACCGTGGCAAGGGTCAGAACAAGGATAGATCTCCTTCAAACAAACCTAACTCTCATCAACAGGTTGCTAATAATAAGCAAGCTTGCTATCGGTGTGGATGTGAGGACCACTAGTCTCGCATATATCGTACACCGAAACATTTGGTTGAGGCCTATCAGAGAATGATGAAGGACTCAAATGGGAAGTCAAAACAAGGTGAAAAACATCATGCCAGTTTGCCTGAAGCAAACATGGCCCTAAAAGATGACAATTATGATGATAACCTGAATCTGGACGATGATGACTTATTGAAGATGGAGCTTGAAGATTTTGGTGACCAGGAGTGATCATGTTATTTATCACTATCTATGCATGTTTTATTAGTCTATTTCGTTTTTCAGACATGTTCTAGTTACTTTTGTTAAGATAATTTGGAATTTTTCGAGACTTATTTTGCATGTTTTTGTAAGACAATTTCAAGTTAGTATGGGTTTTGTTTAAATGATTATTCCCCTTTATCTAATACGTGGTTGTGGAGAAGCTTCCATCTTTCTCCTTAGGGTTGTACTATACATATATCCGACCTAAAATACACCATGTTGCGATGAATTTAAGATTTAGGGACCCAAATTCTTTTAAACTATGGCATGAGCGATTGGGTCATCTTGGGCAAAATATGATCCGTCAAATTTTCTTAAATTAAATGGGGCATTCAAACCAAATCCGACCAACTGCATATCACAATTTTTCCCCATTTACCTAATACGTGGTGTAGAAGCAAAACATTTCTCATCTGCGTATTATTTATTTGCAGTCCATGTTTCTATATCACCACCATAGCGTACCTCTATGGGACCTCGGTGAAGGTACATACATTATTTATGAAACTCCGTCAATAATTTAGTACCTATGGCCCATGTTAGGGGATCAATTTACAATTTAGTACGCTGACTGCATTTTTATTGAAGATCAATTCTCGACATTAGGGGAGATTAGTGCCCAAAATATAAAATAATGTCAAGAAATTCTATTGGTGAAAAAGATCTTTAATATTTATATCCACGTACTAGTCAAACTGAACCAGAAGTTCACATGATAATCTACCAAGAAAAGAGTGACTAAGCCCCATATTCATGTTGAATATATCATTGATGGTTTGGTATGCCAGAAGCATATTATACCAGAAGCATATAAAACATGTTAGTGTAAAAGATAAAAGTCCGCGGCAAACTAAATTATATATAGAAAGACAGTCACTCCCATAACCTCTGGAAGATGCTTGTCCTGAAGACGAAATCTCCAGTAAATTGCACGTGCACTTGATAATCACAATACTGGAGATGCGGAACGACCAAATCCAATTGTTAAGGGAAATGACGAGGATTTGATTGACATAAAATAAGAATTAAAGTGGCCACGAATTTGTGAAAAAGGAGAAATATATAATATAAATATAAAAGTTGTCGACAACATAGTTGCCTCTACAGTTGCTCTTACTATCTCCGAAAATAATCTGGATCCAGAACCTAAGTCGGTAGTAGAGTGCTTGAAGCACTCGAACTAGGTGAGATGCAATTGAGGCTGAGCTGAACTCGCTAAAGTATTTTTGAACCTGTAGTTCATATATTCCCTGCAGGATATAATGGGTCTTCGTAAGAAAAATAAATGAGAATTGTAGGGTGGTGAGATATAAAGCGAGATTCATAGCTCAATGGGTTCACGCAGAGACCCGACATCGATTTAGATGTAAAATATTCTCCTAGTAGTGATTGTATTACGTTCCGTAAGTTAATACATATGGTAGATATATGCAGTATATGTACGTCATGACCACATTTTTATATGAGTCATTAGACGATAATATTTTATATGAAAGTCCCTGATGGACTTAAAATTCCTGAATTAAGAGAAAACAAGAATCGCAACATGTATAATATTAAATTATAAAGGTCGTTATACGACTTGAAACAGTCGGGTAGAATGTGGTATAACCGACTGAGCGAGTTCCTTCTGAAGAGGAGATATGCAAATAATGATGTCTACCCTTGTGTGTTTATAAAGAAATTTGAAAATGTCTTCTGTATTATATCAGTCTATATTGATGATATAAATGTTATTGGAATGCACAAGGAGCTTACAGAAGCTAGCTCATGCCTAAAGACGGAGTTTGAAATAAAAGACTTGGGAAAAACCAAGTTTTGTCTCGGCCTGTAGATCGAGCATTTTCCCAGAAGGAATTTTTCTACACCAGTCAACCTTATGTGAAAAAGATTTTGGAAAGATTTTATATGGATAAATCTCATCCACTTAGCACACCAATGGTCATCCGATCCCTCGAAGTGGATAAAGACCCATTTAAACCCAAAGAAGATAATGAAGAAATGTTAGGGCCAGAAGTTCCCTATCTGAGCACCATTAGAGCATTTCTTTATCTCGCAAATTGCACCAGGCCTGATATTGCATTTGCGGTGAACTTGCTAGCAAGGTATAGTAGTTATCCTACAAGGAGGCAATGGAATGGTGTTAAACATTTCCTTCGCTATCTTCAATGTACAAAAGATCTTGGACTATTCTATAAAAGAAACCAAGATATGACATTGGTGGGCTATTAGGACACTGGCTACATATCTGATCCCCATAATGCCAGATCCTAGACTGGTTATGTTTTTCTCTGTGGTGGTACTGTCGTTTCTTAGAGGTCTGTTAAGCAGACCATGGTGATGACTTCTTCTAACCACTCAGAGATTATTGCTTTATATAAGGCCTCACGAGAATATATATGATTAAGATCGTTGATACAACATATTTGTGGCTCGTGTGGTCTAATGAAAGATGATATTACCCCTATTGTCCTTTATGAGGACAATGCAGCTTGTGTTGCACAAATGAGCAGTGGATATGTAAAAGGAACCATGACAAAAAGAATGGTGAAATCGCCATCGAAAAAGTTCGCTCTAGTGACAATCTTGCAGATTTGTTCACTAAATCTCTGCCTACATCAACTTATGAGAAATATGTTCACAATATGCATAGACTTGAAAGACTATCTTCTTCAGGGGGAGCAAATTCTTAAAGAATAATCCTGAAGATTGGGCCCTGAAATTCTATTATCATAATTTGCCCTTTTCGCTAAGTTTTGTCCCACTGAGTTTTTCTTAGCATAGACTCATAAGATTGTCATCATCAGGGGGAGCGAATTTTCAACGCAATCCCGAAGATTGTGCCTTGAAGAACTATAGTTGTACTCTTTTTTTCCTTTTGCTAAGTTTTGTCCCACAGGGTTTTCTTAGCTAAAGGTTTTTAATGAGGCAACTAATGCAACACAAGTTTGGATCCCGAAGATCTATAGTTGTACTCTTTTTCCCTTTGCTAAGTTTTGTCCCACAGGATTTTCTTAGTTAAAGGTTTTTAATGAAGCAACTAATGCAATAAGAATTTACTAATGTCGTGTACTTTTTTCCTCGACTAGTTTTTATCCCACTGGGTTTTTCTAGCGAGATTTTTAACGAGGCATTGACATTTCGAAGTAATGTCCAAGGGGGAGTGTTGAAATCTAAGTGACATTTTATGGAAATCTAAAAGAGAAAATGTATGTGGACATTACTTTGTATGTGGACTATTAATTTCATGTCCTTTTGTATTCCATCATGTATCCTATTAATTTCATGTCCTTTTGTATTCCATCATGTATCTATAAATTGTACGATGTATGGAAATGGAAGATGATGAATAAGAGATTACAATTTCTCTTCTTCTCTTGTCTCTTGTCTCCTGTTTTATTTCTTTTAGTATATTACAACATATATAATAAAACTCCTATTTGTTAACATGGATAATTCTTATCTCTTTATGCACTTCAAAACTACTGCCAACAAATGTCATAACCTAGTTAACATGCAGATAACCTAGTAACATGCAGATAACCTACTTAACATGCAGACACTCATCTCCAACTTTAAACTCTAAGATGATTTCTGTGAATATCTTTACTGAGAGCTTAATTTTCTTAGTCATGATTCAATCATATACATATTTCACTTAACTACTTATGTCTAACGATGTTTGCTAGTGGTATTATTTTTGTACATCCGGCTATATGTGCAATCATGCACCTAACTCATCTACTCCTCTGTATAAATGGGAGAACACAAGATTCGCTATTCATGCTACAGTAATGTTAGAGTAACATTTACTGTAGAAAACATGAAACTGGACATTGTGTTTTTAAAAAAAAATACTAATGTAGCAGACGGGAATACTGTAGCATAGGTGGGATACTGTAGCACACGGGAAATACTGTAGTCAGAGGATAATATCATGGACATGCTCGCCGTCTGGAGAGACACATCAACAAATAGAGCATCGTTCTCTCGTGGCCCGGCATAAGGACAGACCTTTTCCATATCCATCATTTTGAAGTCACTAAGGGTAACTGGCCGCAAAGCGTCCTCATTCGCCACCGGCCAGTCACAGCAGACAATGACGCTGTTGTCGCCATATACCCACACAAATTGCCTCCGATAGTCCTCATTCAACTCTAAAGAATCGGAAACAAGCCAGAACTCCCCACGATAGTGGAAAGAGTAATGTGGGTCCTTCTCAGCCGACCCCACGCTAATCAAATGCCCAAACAATCTCAAGCTTGGTTGGACTCCAACATGGTGGTAGATGATGACAAAAGCCACCAGAATCCCCGCTGCGTCCGGATTGAACTGGGAAGGGGAGACTCCTAGAGCGGCGAACACCTCCTTAATAAAAGGGTGCAAGGACGACCGTAAGCCATGATCCAAATGAGCTAAGTATAGCGACACTCGACCCTCGTCATGGAAGTACACTGGCTAGCTCATCTCTGGCGTCGTCAAAGTTAGAGTTCGAGGGATATTATATTGCTCATACAAATCTATCAGATTGTTCATATGGACCTTCGAGCGGATAAGGAAAAGAGTAGCAAGTCTCTCCTCACTACGGCCAAAGTTTAAAGCTTGGGAAGCCATGGAAGATTTTTTTCCTTAGGAAAAACTTGGAGGAATATTGGGAATTTCTTCAAAGCAAAGGTTCGTAAAAGAACTATCTTATCACTAAAAAGCTGCTTATAAACTTTCAAGGAAGAGTATAGAAGGATTTCAAGAGATGCGGTGATTTTTGAAGCAACCAAGCTGAATCTACTTCGGAATCTGGAACGGTTTATTCAAAACACGAAGCACCACCATTATTTAATGCCCCATGTCCCAATACCCAAAAAGTGGTAGATCCTCCCTTCTATCCATGGCGTTTCATCTCCTAAAAAAACGGTTCAGATCTTTTGATGACGTCAGCCACGAATAGCGGAGTTAACAATGGATGCCCA